TTGGTCCGATCGATGGTCTGATGCAGTGATGAATCCGTCGCGTGATTTAAAAGACATGAAATACTCGTATGACATGAATGCGAGCACTTCTTCGGCGAGCTATGGCTCGACTGGACCTTCGAGTGCCGCCAATGAGCGGAAGGTATCGTTGTTTTCGCTGAAGGAGTTGCGACCTCTGGAAGTGCCAGCGAGTGATCAGTTGGGGAAATGCCGGTTAGTCACAGAGTTTGAGAAACTCAACCGCATAGGAGAGGGTACTTATGGTATAGTCTGTACGTATGGCCACTAAGACGACACCGGTAGGTCTTCGGCAACTAATGACATGTGTCTCACAGACAGGGCGCGGGACACGAGAAGCGATGAGATCGTAGCCATGAAACGGATGCGAATGGATCGCGAGAGGGAAGGGCTGCCCATCAGTGGTCTCCGCGAAATCAATTTACTGCTGAATTTAAGGCATCCGAATGTCGTACTCCTGAAGGAAGTGGTTGTCGGCAAAAGTCTTGAGAGTATTTTCCTTGTGATGGAGTATTGCGAGCAAGACTTGGCGTCCCTTTTGGATAATATGAACACTCCGTTCACTGAATCTCAGGTCTGACCACAACATGACATCCATTACTGAATGCATACTTTAAAGAGTGAAACGTTTTTTCGGTTCACACGAATGTCTGGTTTTTCGGTTCACACGAATGTCTGGTTTTTTCGGTTCACATGAATGTCTGGTGAATGACAGGTGAAGTGTATTTTGATGCAACTGTTCCATGGATTAGAGTATTTGCATAAGAATTTCATCGTTCATCGCGACCTCAAAGTGTCGAATCTGTTGCTCACAGACAACGGCGAGCTTAAGATCGCAGACTTTGGGTTAGCGCGAAGGTATGGCCAGAAGGATATGCCGATGACTCCCAGAGTTGTCACCCTATGGTATAGAGCGCCGGAACTGCTGTTTCAGTCCAAAGTTCAGACAACGGCTATTGACATGTGGGCCGCCGGCTGTATATTAGGGGAACTCCTTCTCCACAAACCACTACTTCCCGGACGCTCTGAGATAAACCAAATCGAACTCATTGTGGATCTGTTGGGCACTC